ATGCTTAGAACGTTGCAGGAAGACAAGAAAGCAGCATGGAAAGATTGCCTACCTCACATTGTCCACACCTATAATTGCACCAGACATGAAGCCACAGGTTACGCCCCATTTTTCTTGTTGTATGGGAGATCCCTACAACTGCCAGTAGACCTGTTGTTCAATTTGAGGTCAGACGAGAGAAGTACCAGCCAACTGGAGTTTGCACAGAGGTGGGCTACAAGGATGCAAGAGGCGTACAAGATTGCATCAGAATATAGTAACAAGTCTTCAGCCAAAGGGAAGAAGTACTATGATCAGGGTGTGAGAGGAATAGCCCTCCAGCCAGCGGACAAAGTGCTGGTACGGAACCTGTCGGAGAGAGGAGGACCAGGCAAGCTCCGCAGCTATTGGGAAGAGAAGATCTACCGAGTGGTAAGTAGAGCAGGAGATGCTGCAAGTCCTGTCTATAAAGTCCAGGCTGAAAAAGGGGACAAGAACATCCGAGTGCTGCACAGCAATCTATTGTTATTGGTGAATGACTTACCTTTGGAAAAGGAGCAACCACAGGAACCTGCCAAAAGAAAGAACAAACCAGTGAGAAAACAGTTACCACCCAGAGAGCCTGACCCAAGTGAAGATGACTCAGAGGAAGAGGTGACCTACAACTTCCGTCCATTCCCTCGGCAAGTGGTGGAGTCAGGGACTAAGCCAATCCAGCCAGCCCAGTTAGAGTTTTCATCCAGAATAAGGACTCTAGTAGAAAACCCTGATCTGCCTGGACAAGAAATACAATAACAGGCAAAAGATATTGGTCAGGAGGTACAATCAGGGGTGGAACTGAGGGAGGATAATCAGGACTTACCTCAAGGAGGAGACGATGAAGCCACTGGTCCTCCAGTAGAACATCAAGGTTCGGATGGCAGGAACCAAGAGGAAACCGTTGAACCTGTGCTGAGACGGTCATCACAAACAGCTAAACCAAAAGAATTTTTTACTTACCTGCACCCAGGCCAGCCAGTGTACCAACAGTGGAAGCCAGGGGCTTATGCAGTGGTTAGTGAACCAAGAAGAGGAAATACTTTGAACACTAGAAGATTGCACATCAAAACGCTTGTGTCCGTTCTCTCTTTTATTAAGGTATGGAAATGGTGTTTTATCTGTTACTGCCTTGTTTTACTGGTCTGAGAATGTATTTTTATGTGCATTGTGTTTTATGCAATTGTATGCCATAGTGTAAGCTCACGGAGCTGCGATAGTCCCACGCTACTAACATTAACTTTAGTATCAGCCTAACTAAGCTGCTATAGTGTTTTACAGGGGTTCTCTGTGAAGGAAGGCTGTGCTAATGTGTGTGTGTTGTGTTCGAGTGCTGCTATAGGTGGAAACGCATCTCTGATTGAATTACTGCCATGTTGCTTGTGAATTGAGTTGAGAAGCACTTTAATTGCGTTTGCACTTTAAACTGGTTTTATTATTCCCTTTTACGCTGAAGCTGTGAAAGTTTATTATGGTTTACATGTGTTTTAGGGTTTTTATCACATTGGTGTTGTCTGTTTATTGCTTTGGTTTTCTTTCCTTCTTTTCTTTATTTTCCTTTCTTCTATAAGCTTGAGTTAAGCAACGTTGGTTTATTAAATTTAATTTGTTTTCTTTTCTAATTATGTCTTCATGAGGTTTGGGTATTTCAAATTGGTTTTTGTCTTTAGGCTTATTTCATTGAGAACGTTTGTTTGTTTGTTCACTTACTATTTCATTAGTGATTAATTGGGTTATTTTGTGAATTTGTGGTCTTTATTTCTTTTTCTAGTTTCTATTGTTTTTTGAGTATTTACTCTATAGAATTTATATGAATTAAGATTAAGTATTTAAATTGCTATTGGTTTTTGCATGAATAAATTTAAACGCCAGAAGATTGCACATCAAAATGTTTGTGTCCGTTCTCTCTTTTATTAAGGGAATCGGGCGTTGTACCGGGCAGCTGTTCAACTTAGCAAAGAAACACACAGAGAGTCAGTTCTGTAAAGAGTGATTACAGGGTTAACAGAGCAGCAGAGACTCCGGCAGGTCTGGATATTACAGCCTCACTAAAAAGGAGAAACCAGAAAGGTAACAGAGACATGAGGCTCCCTGAGATGTCAGCGCCCCTCCACTCCAACATCAGCAAACCTGAGTGAGTGTGTGAGGCAGCAGGACGACGGCACCAACACTCCTAGTTTACCATAATACTCTATGACCATGAACCCCAGATCTGCACCTTTTATCTAACAGGAAACACTAATTACCAAAGGCTCCACTAAACAAGTGGGTTTTTAGCCTAGACTTAAAGACTGAGGCTGAGTCTGAGTCCCGAACACTGACTGGAAGATTATTTCAAAGCTGAGGGGCTTTGTATGAGAAAGCTCCACCCCCTGATGTAACTTTATTAATTTTAGGTACTAATAGTGAGCAGCACCTTGTGATCTAAGTAGGTGTGATGGTTCATAGTGAGAGAGAAGTTCACTCAAATACTGAAGTACATTTAGGGCTTTATATGTCAGTAAGAGAATTTTGTAATCGATGCAGAATTTAACTGGTAACCAGTGTAAGGTTGATAAAACTGGGCTGATATGGTCAAACTTTCTGGTTCTTGTGAAACTCTGGCTGCAGTGTTCTGGACTAGCTGAAGCTTGCTAAGGCTTTTGCTGGAACATCCAGCCAGCAGGGCATTACAGTAGTCCAGCCTTGAAGTAATAAATGCATGAACTAACTTTTCTGCATCCTGTAGAGAGAATGCATTTCTCAATTTAGCAATATTGCGGAGATGCAGGAAGGCTGTTCTAGTAATATTAGTTATGTGTGCGTCGAAGAACAGATCAGGATCTATCATGACATCAAAATTATTTACAGATGAACCTGACGCAACTGAGAAACTATTGAGTTTAAGTGTAAAATCAGACAGTTTGTTTCTAGCTGCTTTTGGACCAAGAAGCAGAACCTCTGTTTTGTCTAAGTTAAGTAGGAGATATATATATATATATATATATATAACTGTGTGTCATCGGCATAACATTGGAAATTGATGCTGTGCTTACTGATAATGGTGCCCAGTGGTAGCATATATACTGCGAATAATACAGGTCCTAAAACAGAGCCTTGTGGAACACCATACTTTACTTTTGTGAGAACAGATGATTCACTGTTTACATTAACAAACTGATAGCGATCAGTGAGGTAGGACCTGAACCAGGAAAGAGCTGTTCCTGTTACTCCTACAATGTTTTTTTGTCTATCTAGTAATATAGAGTGGTCTATCGTGTCAAATGCTGCACTAAGATCAAGGAGGACTAGCAAAGACACACTTCCTTGGTCAGAGAATAATAAAAGATTGTTTACAATTTTCGCTAGTGCTGTCTCTGTACTATGATGTGGCCTAAAACCAGACTGAAATTTTTCATGTATTTGATTCCTTTGCAAATAGAAACTTAATTGTTTTGCCACATTTTCCAAGATCTTAGATATAAAGGGGAGATTCGAGATGGGTCTGTAATTTGATCATTCGCAGGGATCAAGGTTAACTTTCTTAATCAGCGGTCTAATTACTGATAGTTAAAGAGTTTTTGGGATATAGCCAAGGCTAAGAGAGGAGTTTATTATGGACAGAATAGGCTTGGTTATTTAAACAATACTTTTAACTAGTTCATTTTGTTGAAGTAAGGTAAACGATTCCAGCCTCTCTGCAGTAGCTACAATATTCTCAAGATCTAGATTCGCATTATAAGGCAGCAAGTTTGTACGGTTTAAATCATTGCTGCTGTAGGCTAATGGCATCTTTGGTTCAGTAACTGTTTTATTAGGATTTATTAGGAACTGTTTTATTATTATTATTATTATTATTATTATTGTTTTCTATGAGAGAGGAGAGATAGGCTGAGTGTGCTGCAGTAAGTGCAGTAAGCGTAGGCTCCTCCCCCAACTATACCAGCCAGGCCTGATTGGTTAGAGGATTCTAGGGCATGCAAACACTCTACTGCCAGGGCTGGACCTAATCACCAGTAGATATTGAACAAACCCATTTAGCAGGAATTTCACCACATAACATTAATACAACTACTGTACATTGTTACACATCTAAGGCCGCTGTTGTATATGAAATTATTAATTTCATGAAAGTATTCATTTAGACCAAGGGGGGGGTCTGATCCACATTCCTGCTGTCTTGAAATACATGTAACAAATTTAGTTTACACACCTCTTTAATGTTATTCCTCTAATGTCTGGCGGCCTGGCTCCCGGTAAACTGCTACTGGCGCCCCTAAGGGAGAAGCTATTTTCAGACGCTGTAAAATAGAATCACCTCTAGCTCTTTCAACAGGCGTCTCAGAGGGTCTCACTGAGTGGGGCAAACCTGTTGGACACGTGAATGGGAGATGAGTGGTGCTCGAGTGGGGTAGCTTTAGCTTTAGCTTTGCAGTTATGCCGCCGAGACGCCACCCACTCGCCCCGCTGTGAGGGCTCTGCTGCCGGAGTCGAGGGTGTGCTAGCTCTCCCTGAGGCACCTGGAGCTTCTAACAGCGAGTCTGAGCTCTGCTGACCAGCCCTGCTCTTTTCTAATGTCCGGATGCAGCTCTAACTGTATAATCTACTCCGTCAAACACGAGACTAACTTACACTTGTCACAAACAAAGCTAGTAGCACTGCTGTCACTAGTGACACAGAGAGAAGCATAACTAAACATGCTGCACTCAGAGCAAAGCAACAGCTTGCGGTCAATCAGTGCTGTCAGACTTGGACTCACACTGTTGTAAAATCTTTTCAGAAACTTCGCAGTTCCACTGTTTTGTAAAAAATTTATAAAATAAATGAAGTAAAAGGTTCTCTGGAGAATAAAAGAACAAACTTAGTTCAACAAAAAGTTTTTATTTCATATGGATGGAGATGAGCAGTGTTGTTCGGATCAGGGCGACGATCCAGTTTGGTTTTAGTTCTGCTGATCAGAAAAGATTTGGGTCACTCACTCAACAAACGATCAAAAATAAGGCCTGTTTTGCACCAGTTTTGCATGAGTTTATATGTTAGTTTGTGCATAAAGTCTTTACTAAGTCCCCTGTTACACTGGGTAGTTTCAAACTGTCTTTCTCCTGAATTTCATCGCCCCACAAATCTGTAAGTCGTGTCTTAACTAGTAACAACAAATGCATACAACGTTTTAACGCAACGAGAACACGTTCAGAACCTGTAAACATGTTACCATGGAAACAAAACCACTTTTTCTGTGAAAGTAACATCCAGTAAAGACCGGAATGACATTGTAGCCGTTGCCTGTATTCTCTTTAGCATTTCTTTGCAGCTGTTTAACCGCCGTTTAAGATACAACAGCAGCTTCAGTTTAGAGTTTCAGCAGCCGCTGAGTCTCTGACCTGGAGCTGTGGGTGTTCAGCTTCATGTTCGGACGATTAGAGCTGCATATATCGTTTAGTGAGCTTAGTCAACCAAAAAAAGTCATGGTTTTGCTCTGTTTTTTGTTTTTCTGTGTAGTTTCCGTTGGTTTCCCTGTTCAGATGAAGGTGTAAATGTTTCATAACTGCTAATGAGCTGCAGCTCGTTTTGATTTGTAATGTGTGAACCTGACCTTAGTAAATACTTCTCGTCGTGAGCCTCAAACTAGCCTACATCTGAACTTACGTATGGCTGGGGCAGCCGGCCCATAGTGATCACCTGAAAAGAGAACAAACACCCAGCTGGGAACATCACACGTGCCAAAACTCTGAATAATGCAAACCCAGTGTGAGAAGATACGGCTCTCCGGGAAACAGAGCAGCAGTGAGAGCGTTTCTAGGCTGGAACAGAGACGTTTAACTCCGCAGCTTCCATGCGATCACCCCGTTGTTTACAGTAAAGTAATACTGAATTCTGTCAGTTCGCAGGCTGATGATATTTGATACTGTCCAGAATTGTTGAAATGTTGGGTGGAGATGAAGGAAACATGAAAAGTGTATTTATTTGTCTTTTATGCTGTTTGTTGTGGATCCATAATCCTGGTTTAAACTGCAGACTCTCTGGAAACAGTTCTAGGATCAATGAGTGAAGTTCCAAATCACGCTAGGGAAAATCGACCTGTTGGTGTCGGAGGGCTGAAAGTCGGTAACTGCAGAAATAAAACAATATCCAAGCTGTTCCTCCAGATCCACACAGAAGTGGTTCCCTCCCCAAAGAATCCTGCTTTTGGTATGGTCATTCTAGTCCCCTGACCAGCCCAGACCATTACACACTGAGGGAGAGTCCAACAAGGATCTCCTGATAATCTGACAGGAGAGGACATATAAACACAATGATTTAGAATACTAAAAACACAGATTCACCTAATAATGAACATTCAGTCTGTCGTCACAGTTTACAGATGGAAAAGCACTGAATCTTTTCTTTGTGTGTCGTGTTTAATAATGGATTAATGAGGTTAAAATCAAGTTTACACAATCCCCAACCCCCACCCCCCTCACCCACCCACCCCCCATTTAATCAAAACACCCAAAGTTAGCTGCTTTAGTTCTGCACTGGAGCTACAAGGCTAATGTGGCTGAAAGCTAACGGAAGTCTCTGTCACTCTGAATGATGTTGAGGAACACAGGGCTGATTCTCCAAACAGGGATTAAGCCTAGTCCTGGACTACACAGCCTTCTGAATGGAGCTTATCCACTGAGAGGAAGAGCTCGTCCACAAACATCCTGTTTACAGTCCTAAACTTAGATCTCACGGTCAAGATGAGAGTTTTCACTCATTCAGATTACAGAAGAAAATCTTACCTTAATTTAGGACTTTTATCTTATCCTTCAGCATCTTATCTCAAATTAGGAAATCTTAGTCCACTCAGTGGAGGTGGATAATCGATTGTTTATGTCTGTTACCGAGTAACCGATGATGCACAAATAGCTCAGTGTAAACATGTAATCAAAATAACATAAACAGACAGTCAGATACAGTACAGAGAGGGACTGTGGGTAAAAAGTGTGTGTGAAATAAAGTGTGATGAACTGAAAGCTTTAGAAAACTGAAGAAGCTGAGAAGTGTGAGTGCGCCCCCTGCTGTTCATCATTAACATTACCGCCGCTTCAATCAGGAGATCTTTCAGACTCTATAATTATAATGTACTGTATCCTGATCAAGAAACGTGTCGTTAATTCCAGGTTCGCTGAACGAAGCTCAATGACGGGAACCAAAACGACCGGCTGAACAAAGTCTACAGTAATGAGTGAAATGATGGTGAAAGTGTGAAGCTGAAACTGACATTTATTCACCAGCTTCTTATTCAGATTTTCCGCTCCACCTTAAATAGTCCAGCAGTTACGGCTGCGCTCAGATTACAGTCCTCGGTGCTGAAATCCGATGTTTTACTCAGATCTGATCTCTCTGACATGATGGTTCACTCGTTTAGGTAAGAGACTCAAATCTGTCAATGTGAACAAACCGTCCTGAAATGACCCTAATGAGCACATCATAATCAGTAACGTTAATGAATCACGTGGTCATTAACAGCAAATTAACGACACAGCTTCACTGTGAAGATCATTAACTCTGATCAGATCTCAGCTTCATTATTAGAGTGAGACGGAGGTGAAAAGGCTGAGATGAGCTGCTTTTCCACCGTTTACAGGCTTTAACTTCACTAACGCTCAATGGAAAAACGCGTTAATTCAGATCTCAGGTAGAACCTGAGAAGATCAGACTTGTGTGTCCAACAGCTCTGAAAATCAGGTTTGCGCCACTTCAGCTGATAATGTGATCGTGCTCTGTGTGGCTACCTCTGTCCACTCTCACTGAAACGGGGTAATTTGTCCACATCAGTCAGGATGGAACTCCTGAAGTTCAGTTACGCTGATTTTATAAAGTCTAAATCACCAGCAGATTAAAGCTCCTCTGAGTGCAGGACTAGGCTTAATCCCTTTCTGAGGAACTGACCCACAGACTTGGACTGTTGGCCCCAGAGCTCCACCACACAACTGAAGAAACTCTGGACACCAGACACATCTTCACTGACCGACTCCGTATCACTGTTTTCTCTAATCGTATTATATTCTGCGGGAGTCACACCGCAGTGCTGACTTTGGGTCAATTTTGGAGGAGCTAAGCTGCAACTAATGAAGTCCTAAGATTTAAAACTGTAATTTAGTCCAAGGCTTAATCTATGTTTGTAAAATATCCCTGAAAAGTTGCATAGCCATGTATCACGGCAGGTCTGATGAGCGTTACAGGAGACTTTGGGTTCTGCTTTTATTCTCAGTAAATGTGCTGATAAAATCAGAGGGTAGAAAGGCAGGAGCACAGGTGTGTGTGTGTGTGTGTGTGTGTGTGTGTGAGAGAGAGAAATGCTGGTTAAAGGAGAATTAAAATTTCTGCGAAATTAACTAGTTAAGATTTAAACAGAGTGGTTCAGAGTGGTTCTCTGTTCTAGATAAACTTGAGTTGTTCACAGTGGTGGTGATAGGAACCAGACGTCCACCTCTAAAAGCTCCCTCACAGAAAGTTACTACATGAAATGGTTATGAATTCACTGCCTGATGACTGAGACACTGTTTTATGATGGTTTTGAGAAAACTTTGGCCTAAAATTAATGAAAAAAACATTTATGGCAATGAGGTACATGCAAGATGTTCTGAGGCAAAATACCCCCCCCACCCTGAAGAACGTTAATTGTTTTTAAAACCATTATCGGCATTTCATATAAAGCTCAGAAGACTCGTGTAGGTTCATTGGTGGTTCTGGATAGTAAATAAAATGTCTATATCTGTGTTGTAGTCATGGCGACCCCTGGTTCCTATCACCACCACTGTAAAGACATCTGAACCATTTCACACCAAACCACTCTGTTTACACCTCACACATTGATCTTATGCAGGAATTTTGAAAATGTGGTGTAATTCTCCTTTAAATAGAATAAGAATGGTGCAGATGAATCTGTCGGCTCTGTTGAATGTGAATCTATGTGTGTCCAAAAATTACAGCTGAATGTGTCAGAAACTCTTGCTGAGCTGTGCGTCGGTTCAGAAGGAGAAGTATTTGGTGAACCACTCCTGTCTCTGTGGGTCTTGAGGGTCCGGTCCTGTTTCGATCACTCTCTGTTCGGACGGAGTCCTAAACAACAGACAGACCCAACGCAGTGACTTTTAACAACAGTGCAAAAATACAAGCAGGAAACAGGATCAGAAAAAGGTGACAAATCATATAAAATATTTACTGTTTGTAATTAACAGTATGCAATGTTTGAAACATGGGTTATGATGGGGCTTTAAAAGCCATTATGCTGCAGTAAATTCCCCGCTGACTCTGCTGCTGCGTGAGTCTGATTTTTCATCTCGGGACAAATTCACAGTATTTTCTGTTCAGCTAAAGTGTCTCAGAGCTTCAGCGGAGTTATATTCTGAAAACTGAAATTACTCTGCGGGCTACACGCTTTTCCAAAGGCATCTGTAGCAGAACTCCAGCATGACTCCACCATGATGATGGAAAACACCTTGGGTTTTTTACGTAAAGCAGGTGGGTGTGGCCTTGAAAAGCAAACATTTAGTGCTGTAGTCTGAAGTTTCTCCAGCAGGGGGCACTATTAGCATGCATTGGCCATGAAACTACAGCAGAAAGGGCTGATGAATGCAGGTTTACAGTAACATCTATAATAACGACAGTGAAGTGGTTCTCGAATGTTTTGCTGCTCAGTGTTTTAACTGTTTACCTTAAATAACACTTCAGCTTCTTCTGGCTGCTGTGCTCATGCAGACCTGCACAGCGAGGCTTGACCAAAGAGCTTTGACCGGGTGTGTCAGTTGGCTGTATGTGTGTCGCCGGACCGTGCTGGCTGTAGTTGAGGTGGAGATGCAGCGGTCAGTGTGACCCCTGTGTGGACGCCGTGAGGTGTTTTTCGCTCGTTCTAGTTTATAGCCGGTGATTTTTGAGTGTGTGACGGTACCTGATGTGCTGGCTGTAGTTGAAGTGGAGATGCAGCGGTCAGTGTGACCCCTGTGTGGACGCCGTGAGGTGTTTTTCGCTCGTTCTAGTTTATAGCCGGTGATTTTTGAGTGTGTGACGGTACCTGATGTGCTGGCTGTAGTTGAGGTGTAGCTGGTGCTGGAGGTCTTGAATGGGAGAGTGTGTGTGTCTAGCAGCAGCCCGGGCTTCAGCGTGGGGGGAAGTCGGAGTGTGTGTCCGTGACAGCAGGACCCCACGCCCGCCCTGCTCTGAGCTGGGTAGACCGCGGGAACCCTGCTGCTCCATACTGGGGGACCGTGTGGCCTTGGGGGAACTGCCCTCCAGCGAGCTGAGATTCGGTACGCTGGTCACACGTGGTGGTACGTCTTCAACCATCTTCTGGAAGCAGGACAGAGCAGATATACTCTTCCTGTTATCAGTAGTAACTGACATCTCAGTAGTTACGTTTCCACACAAAGGATTTTTTATGGAAAACGTTTTAACGCTTTAAAAAGTTTGCTGGTGTTCGCTTTGTGAAGAGAAATTGTTGGTAATATTTTTTGGATTTTTCCACCACTTCAGTATTAATACACAACGTCTGCTGTGTTGTTGCTTAGAGTCTTGGGCTTTTTGTCTTTTCAGTAGCCATTATGACCCTTAATAATAACAATAATAATAATAATCTTTATTTATAAAGCGCTTTTCATAGCGATGGCAGCTCATGTCAGTTAATAACACAGATCAGATTAAAAGACCAAAGAGCCGCAGAGTTTTACTGAAGTTAAAGAGCTCCGTTTTCAGACGTTTATTAAAAGTGAGCTCTGAGCTCGACTGTCTAATAAAAACTCTCCACAGTTCATCTTACAAAACTGATGTGTGTGAATGACCTTCACAGCAGGTGTGAGGTTTCCTGGTCGTAGTCTGGAGTCGTGGAGCTTCACCGTTCCGTCTCTGCCGAGAGGGGGATGCTGGGATAGCTGATGCAGGTCTTCCTAGTGGAGCCAAATAAAGACGATAGTGAGCACCTGGTACTAGAGCCTGGTTTTTCTGCACGTGTTCTTGATTGTGCTCTTACCACGAGCCTCTTGATGAGCTGGTCTCTGTCGCTGAGCTTGTCCTGCAGTTTGGCGATGGTGTGCAGATCCTCCACTCGTCTCTTCCCCTTCTCCTCCCTCTCTCTCAGCCTGCAGGCACACACACACACACACACACACACGCACAAGCATGCGGTGAGATCAACCTCGGCTGCGCGCGAGTCGGTGCATTATTAATGAGGCGGTGCGGACGGTAGCTACTCTGTTTCCAAGGCGACGATGCGGGCCTGGAGTTGCGTCTGGGCGGAGCTGAAGTCTGACATTATGGTCTGGATCTCCATTCTGTGCTCTTTCTTCATGGTCTCCATCTCCCCCTGTGCTCCGTCACCGCTCTCCTCCGTCACATCCCTCTTTCTGCACTCGTCTTTTCTCTCCTTCCATGAACTGGAGAACATGCGCAAACAGAGACTTCATGTGTCTCAAATACGGAGTAAAGAGCAAACCAGAGATATAATAAGTTGGAACAGATAAAATAGAACCTGCAGTGCCACATATAAAAACACGAGGGACTGTAGATGCTGTAGGATCGTCTGTCAGGTGAGGCTGGACAGTAAATGTGTCTCTGCTAATGTTTAATTACATTACACGCCTTATTTTCCGTAATCAGATCAAACATTCATACAATCAGAAACACTTTAAATTTTGTTTGAGTGACTCTCTGATGTTTGATAATCTGTGAGCACAACAAAGACTCAACTCTGATGTCTTTACAGTGGTGGTGATAGGAACCAGGGGTCGCCATGACTACAACACAAATATAGACATTTTATTTACTATACAGAAGACCAGTGAACCTACATGTGCCCATATGTCATTCTGAGAACCGTAATACGGTGGTTAATCTATAAATAAATAAACACCTTATTTCAGACATCAGGCAGTGAATTCATAACCGTTTACTGTAATAACTGTCTCTGAGGGCCAAATTTTGAGGGCCAAACCTGAAGCTGTTTTTTGTACCTGTTAGACTAACATGCTCAACATTACCATCTCCTGTCTACCATCTAGACCGTCTCCTGTCCCGCTCAGTCACTCATTTCCGATCTCTTAATAAGCGGTCAGTGGTGTCCTGCCCTGTAAATTCACGCTTATTGACATTAATCACTCTGATAAATCCTTCATTACTAAATTTGCTCATTCACAGTTGAACACTGATCACAGTGATGTGTGTTTATAAGCTAACAGTTCCTGTAAATAATGCAGATGAGTGTTTGAGCACTTTGGGTTTTGGACCTTCAGAATAAGCTGACCTGCTTGTGTGTTTGTGGTTGCTGCTGGACTCTCGCTCCAACCTGAGAGCGTTCACTCGTTCCCGCAGCTCCTCATTCTCTCTCTTCAGCTCTTGCACTTCGCTGCTCCTCTCGTCCAGCTGCCTCTCCAGCGACTGTACCCGGTTCTGCTGCTTCAGGTCCTTCAGGAACAACAGGAACACAGCTCATGTTCAGGTACACTATGTGAGGGTAGATTTAAAGGAGAACTCCACCCATTTTAACGTTTTCTGCACAACTGAATGGTTACGATGTAAACAGAGTCATTCAGAGTCGTTCACAGTGGTTTGGTGTGAAACGCTCTGTTCTAGATAAACTTACAGAGTTAGAACTGTTCACAGTGGTGGTGATAGGAACCAGACGTCCACCTCTAAAAGCTCCCACACAGAAAGTTACTACATGAAACGGTAATGAATTCACCGCCTGATGACTGAGACACTGTTTTATGATAGTTTGAGAACTTAAACTCCATTCATGGTGGAGGGATACATGCAGGGTGCTGTGAGGCAAAATAGTCCCCAAAGAAAACTTATTATTTCAGATTTTCCACTATTTTCCATCATCAACATTCCATATAAACTCAGAAGACTCGTGTAGGTTCACTGGTGGTTCTGGATAGTAAATAAAATGTCTATATTTGTGTTGTAGTCATGGTGACGCCTGGTTCCTATCACCACCACTGTAAAGACATCTGAACCATTTCACACCAAACCACTCTGAACCACTCTGTTTACACCTCACACACTGAATTACACAGAAATTTTTAAAAAAATCTGTGGAGCTCTTCTTTGATGTGTGTAAATCAGTCAAAGTATCAATATGGTGTGTGTGTGTGTGTATGTGTGTGTGTGTATGTGTGTGTGTGTGTGTGTGTGTACCTGCTGCAGGGCCATCATCTGTGTGTGGGTTTGGAGTTCAGTCTGCAGGTCCTCAATCTGCTGCATGTGTCTCTGAGTCACCTGCCTCACCCACTCAGTGTGCTGCTGAGTCAGCTCTGCTTTCTGCTTCTCTAAGCACACACACACACACACACACACGTATGTGTTTATACAGACATGGAAAAGCAACAGAGAGCAAGTTATAGAATATACAGCCGTACGCAGAAGTGTGAATAAGTGAACACATCCTCCACAGAGAGCACGTTTAAATACGACTTTTTTCTGCACATTACAGAGCACGATTTCTGTTTTAGTTCCACATTTTGGAAAAGATAAAATATAACGTGCCATGTTATATAACTTTTGGACAGGACACATTTTTATCATATTTTAAATATGTGTTAAATTCAGTAAATAAACAGTAATTGTGTATTAGAATGCGTAGAAGTGAGTCTCTGTAGAGGACGTGTAACTTTATACTCAGAGGATCAACAAAAACATGGAATTTGACCCCAAACTTTTGCTCACAGCTGTATTACATAGTTATTATAGTGCATGGAGATCTTTTGTGAGGCTGTGAATCTGTACTCCCTCATTAGTGTTGTGCTCTATAGGGGAGCATCTACAGCAGTTACCGTTCAGTGTTTGCTGTACGAGCAGTGAAGGCGTTAAAGTCTTTGTGTTCAGTTGTAGCTGCTGACACTCGGGGTTAAGCTGATAACTGCTGAAGGCGCACGGCACTGCTTTCAGATCCGGTGATGCTGAGGGTTACAGCTCAACCAGGGCAGTCCTGAAGAAGTCCGGCCCCGCTGCATGTGGAAAGGCATCCAGACTTCTACGGACTACAGACCTCCCCCACTGACCCCCCCCAGCCAGCAGTGCCTCTCGCTCAGATGAGCCTAACCAGTTCTACGCTTGTTTTGATCAGGGCAATGCTGAACACATGGGGTGGACTTCCTTACAATGGCAGCCCCCCACACTCTTTCCAGCAGAGGTGTGTTCAGTACTGAGCAGAGTAAATGCACGTAAAGCTGCTGGCCCAGATGGCATCCCCGGAAGAGTCCTCAAAGCGTGCGCTGGACAGCTACTCTTCACTGCTACTCTTTCTTAGAGCGTGCGCTGGACAGCTACTCTTCACTGCGACTCTTTCTCAGAGCGTGCGCTGGACAGCTACTCTTCACTGCTACTCTTTCTCAGAGTGTGCGCTGGACAGCTACTCTTCACTGCGACTCTTTCTCAGAGCGTGCGCTGGACAGCTACTGTTCACTGCTACTCTTTCTTAGAGCGTGCGCTGGACAGCTACTCTTCACTGCGACTCTTTCTCAGAGCGTGCGCTGGACAGCTACTCTTCACTGCTACTCTTCTTCAGAGCGTGCGCTGGACAGCTACTCTTCACTGCTACTCTTTCTCAGAGCGTGCGCTGGACAGCTACTCTTCACTGCTACTCTTCTTCAGAGCGTGCGCTGGACAGCTACTCTTCACTGCTACTCTTCCTCAGAGCGTGCGCTGGACAGCTACTCTTCACTGCTACTCTTCCTCAGAGCGTGCGCTGGACAGCTACTGTTCACTGCTACTCTTCCTCAGAGCGTGTGCTGAGCAGCTAGCCCCGGTCTTCACTGACATCTACAACCTGTCACTGGCCCAGGCTGCTGTTCCCATGCCAAAGCATTCTTCTGCAGCATGTCTGAATGACTTCCGCCTGTCGCACTCACACCCACTGTGATGAAGTGCTTTGAGAAACTGGTTCTCGGTCATCTGAAAGCAGCGCTCCCACCATCACTGGATCCCTTCCAGTTTGCATATCGCTCAAATAGATCAACCGAGGATGCCATTTCCACAGCTCTTCATTTTGCCCTCACCCACCTGGAAAACCAGAACACATACATTCGGATGCTGTTCATTGACTTCAGCTCCGCCTTCAGTACAGTCTTCCCCACCAGGCTGGACACCAAGCTCAGTGATCTGGGAATCAGCACCGCTCTGCGTAATTGGGTCCTGGACTTCCTGACAAAAAGACCCCAGTCTGTGAGATTCGGCAGTCATATGTCCTCCACCCTCACCCTGAACACCAGTGTCCCACAAGCTGTGTGCTGAGTCCTCTGCTCTTCTCCCTGTTTACCCATGACTGCCTTCCTTTGCATACATCTAACATCATTATTAAATTTGCAGACGATACCACAGTGGTTGGCCACGTCAGTGACAATGATGAATTGGCCTACAGGGAGAAGATCCAGCACCTGGCTGCCTGGTGTACCGCCAACAACCTCTCCCTAAACACAGACAAAACCAAGGAGCTCATTGTGGACTACCGGAAAAACTAAAGCTGCACACACTCTCCTGTCCGGATCAATGGTTCTGAGGTAGAGCGTGTCTCTAGCTTCAGGTTCCTGGGAGTGCACATCTCAGAAGATCTTTCATGGACAATCAACAACTCACACCTGGTTAAGAAGGCACAGCAGCACCTCTATTTCCTGAGGAGACTAAAGAAGGAAAATCTGTCTCCTCAGATTCTTACAGACATCTACTGCTGCACCTTTGAAAGCGTACTGACCAACTGTGTGACAGTATGGTACAGCAGCTCCACTGTGGCTGACAGGAAGACCCTCCAAAAAGTGGTAAGGACCACTGAGCGCATCACTGGCACACGGCTCCCTGACATCAGAGACATCCACCACCAGCGCTGTGTGCATCATCAAGGACTCCTCCCACCCCAGCCACACTCTGATTAACCTCCTCCCATCTGGGAGGAGATACAGAAGCATTCGGACCAGAACCAGGGCAATTAATCGAAAAGTAATCAAAACCTAATTCTGGTAATCCTTTCCCACTTTGTGTGTTCGTGTACTGTCCCCTTAAAAACTTACTACCACGCATGTAGGCACGTGACTCCTCCACGTCCAGTCTGCGACATGGAAGCTAAGGCTACATCCACACAGCAGGTACAAGTGGCCCAAATCTGATTTTTCTGTTTGGCTGTTCAGATTATCTTTTAAATGTGATCTGTATCATCAGTCTGAACAGATCAGCTCCTAAACTGACCCATATGCTCTAAAGAACAGAGCGTCACGCTGCTTCACGGCTCATCCAGAGGTAAACAATCGCTCCCGGAGGATCAGCTTCATCTTCACCAGCATCACAGGAGCCATCATGAAGCTTCACTGACTGACAGCTGGGCTCATCACCCAGAATGTGTTGGAGCCGTAAAAAGGGCGCGGTCACTTCTTTGGTTCGCGTCCTCGGATTCTTTAAACTCTGCTTTCAGACTTTTAACTGTTCTTTGACGCTGCAGCCTCGTTCTCCTGCGGCCGCGTTCGGACAATTCTTTAGAAATCTCTTCAAGCACAGAGGTGAGCCTCAGCAGCACGAAATTATGACGAATGTCGAGTTGGATTGACGTAAAAGCCGCGTTAATTCCGATCTGGCTGCTGAGACGATTTACATTAAGATATGCAGAACATATTTACAGTACAAACCTTGTCAGTGAACTATGAGGGCAAAAAAACAAACAAACAAACAAACAAAATAATTGTTCATTAATTGTAATTGAGGTAAAATATTCAATTAACTGTGAATTTGAGGTCATATCGCCCAGCACTAATATATCATTTATAGATATATTTGTAATTGTGTATATATTGTTCATATAGTTATATATTTCATAGATATGTCATTTATGTCTGTTATTGCACATTTGCACTGTCTGTTTTGCACTGTTGCTACTATTTCCACTTCTAGTAGATGTTAACTGCATTTCGCTGCCTTGTTCTTGAACTGAGCAATGATGAAGTTGAATCTATCTATCTATCTCTCTATCTATCTATCTGTCTGTCTGTCTGTCTGTCTATCTATCTATCTATCTATCTAATGTTAGTATTCTAAATCGCTAGTTTGGACCACTCAAATATCATGAACGCACCAACCACAGCTTTAAGATGGACAGAGGGGATTATATCAGTCTTGTGATCTGTTTTCCTTTAATGCATAGTCCATGTTCTAAATCAGTCCTGATATGTGATACACAAAACTTTGTGGACAGCTCAAGTGTTTCAGCCACCCCCATTGCTAACAGGTGTATAAAATACAGCACACAGTCTTGCAGTCTCCATAGACAAACACTGCAGCAGAGGGTCGTACTGATGAGCTCAGTAACTTTAAACGCGACGCTGTCACTGGGTGCCATCTCTGACACAAGTTTGTGAGATTTCTGTCCTGCTAGATCTGCCCCTGACAACTGTAAGTGCTATTATTGTGAAATGGAAGCGTCTGTTACATCTCTCGCTACAGAGTTCCAGACTGCCTCTCAGAGCCACATCAGCACGAGAACTGTGCTTCACGAGCTTCATCAAATGGGCTTCCATCTCCAAGCAGCTGTGATGGTCAGGTGTCCACATACTTTTGTCCATTATTATTATTTGTATATGTTGTTTTGCCTAAGAACATTCTGTAGTGGCTCGAGGCAGCAATTTTGTCCTCTTGTAAGTATAAAATAGGTCTAATCTCAAGTTAAAGGACAAAGGTTTCTATGGGTGTCTAAGCAGATGCCTGTTTAATTCAAAATTTGTCTGAAAAGTCAGGCGGCGCAACCAGTCAGTCAGATGAAGCAACCAGACCAGCACAGTTGAATAACTGAAATAGACAATTAAAAGATTTGATGAGACTCATTATATTTCTAATAGAAAATACAGATATAAACGCAAATATATATATGCAGATCTAAAAATGTCATTTTGAAAACCTTCTGTGTCGCTGATGCAGCTCTGTCTCTGAGTGTGTGTGCTAAGATGGCGTGATGCTGGTGGGAAAGCAGCTTTTTATATTACAGTCTGTCAGACAGTCGAGAGGTCAGTTATGTTTATTTACGGTGACTCCACAGCCACCTTCCTTTAACATCAGCTAACATTAGCTCTGTTCAGTGCATGTTAACATACAGTCAGCTGTAGTGATCTGTGGTGTCCAGTGATCTTTACTGGACGCTGTAGAGCCTCAATCTTAGAATTCCGTCGGAATGTGGCTGATGTTCCTGACAGCGTGTTTCCGTCTCAGTCTTAGTGAACAGCGTGTGTCTGTAAACGATCTGTGTAGTTAGGGTTGTTCATGTCTGTGTGTGTTGTCATGGTTACCCAGCTGTAGTTTGTGCTGCGTGTGGAGACGCTGCTTCTCAGCCTGCAGCTCTTCGCTGGCGCGTGACTCCAGAGCCTGCAGCGCCCGCTGGTGACTGAGTCTCTCTACCCGCAATAACTCGTCCTCTCGCTGACGCATACCACGCTCGTCCCGCTCCTCCTCCCTCACTTTATCCTCCCTCACTGCCTCCTCATCCTCGTCTTCCTCCTGTACGACCTGCAACACACACACACATCAGGGAGAGTAGCAGCAGCGCGCTGAGGGTGAATATCTGCACAGAGGGACGCTGATCGTCTAGATCTCCATGACCTTAATGCGTTTATACCTCAGTGATCATAAATCATTCAACCTGCAGAAGTAAGTCTGTCTTCACACGGGGAGACTCTGTTCAACTTGACACCAAACACACTGCAATGTCCATCTCTCCACTACTGACCCAGAACAGCAGCTCGCATCATTTCCATACGGCGTATCATTGAGCTGTATATGGCTGCATGTTTATCATTTACATTAAATGAATCTGCATATTTATGCATATGCAAAATATGTAGTGTGAAGTGACCGTCACCTTCTGTCCAGTTTTACGGAGTAAAGATCTGAGCAGTAAAGACATTAACAGTAGAACATCAGAAGAGGTTCTAAGAAGAGTCGTCCTGCCTGTGTTCTGTGAAGGGAAAAGTTCTACTTCTGCAGGGTATCAAGTCAGATTATGTGAGATGAGGATTAATAATGGGCCAAAAATTGTCACTGTGTAATTTTTTTGACAGTTCTGGTAACACTTCATTAAAACCACCTCCTCGTATCTACACTCACTGTCCACTGGATCAGCTCCACTGACCATATAGTTTCACTGTAGTTCTACAGTTACAGCCTGTAGTCCATCTGTTTCTCTGCATACTTTGTTACCCTGTTCTTCAGTGGTCAGGACCCCCATGGACCCCCACAGAGCAGGTACTATTTGGGTGGTGGGTCATTCTCAGCACTGATGTGGTGGTGGTGTGTTGGTGTGTGTTGTGCTGGTCTGAGTGGATCAGACACAGCAGTGCTGCTGGAGTTTTTAAACACCTCAGTGTCACTGCTGGACTGAGAATAGTCCACCAAAAGCCAACAGCGTCCTGTGGGCAGCGTCCTGTGTCCACTGATGAAGGACTAGAGGATGACCAACACAAACTGTGCAGCAGCAGATGAGCTATCGTCTCTGACTTTACATCTACAAGGTGGACTGACAAGGTAGGAGTGTCTAATAGAGTGGACAGTGAGTGGACACAGTGTTTAAAACTCCAGCAGCACTGCTGTGTCTGATCCACTCACACTAACCCCATTTCAGACTTGACAGCAGGAGGAGAAGAGGGGTCTGTTTTCATTTTCATCTGAAATGTGACTGAAAAGTCCCTAAATCAGCTAAAGGGGGTAACGTTAGCGTGGTCTGCACTGTTTGTGCGTCACATGACCTGAGCCCATAATGTGACAAAACTCATGCCGGAGGAGGAATTTTCCCAGGTGGTCCAGAGGAGCCAGTGTGCTAACGCTAATGCTAACAGGACTGCAGTGTATTAATATTTCCGAGTGTCTGACTGAATCAGCTCCTCTCGGCTGAGTCGCTGTGTCACCTGTAACTGCTGCTTCTTCATCAGCCTCTCCTTCTCCTGGATGGTGGAGTGGAGCTGAGCTCTCAGTGAACTGTTCATTTCTCTGGTTTTCTGGATCTCCAGCTTCATCCTCTCCATCTCTCCGTTACCGTAGCAGCGATCCCTCTCTCCGTCCTGCGCGCTCCTCTCCGAGAGAGCGCTCCTCTCCTCCAGCTGGACGTACAGCAGAAAGGAACTTTGCAGAAAAAACACTGACAAAGTGTGTGTGTGTGTGTGTGTGTGTGAGAATGAGTAAGTGAATGTGTGTGTGCACGTGTGAGAGTGACTGTGTGTGTATGTGTGTTTGTGTGTGTGTGTGTGTGTGTGTGTGTGTGTGTGTGTGTTACCTGTGTCTGTAGTTCCTGAACTCTGAGCTGCCAGTGCAGGTTAATGTCTCTGATCTCTTTCTCTCTCTCCTTCTGTAGATCTGCCACATGATCAGAGAAATGCTTCTCAAACTGCAGCCTAGACAGACAGACAGGGAGACACACAGACAGACAGGGAGACACACAGGGAGACAGGGAGACAGACTGTTTTAGCCATTCAAACATTTAAAATCCTTTAACTGTATGTACAATTTTGGGCACTTTTGGCCAAATTAAATATTTTGTTGATTTTTGAGGTGATGAGCAAGATCACAACCTGATTCTGCAAAATATTTAAAAATATTTCTTAACTTAAAAAAAAAACAACTTAAAACTGTTGCCTGTGCAGAAGTGCAGGATCTAAATCAGTACTCAGTGACTCATCTGAAACGTTCTCAGCTGGGTCTCATGTAGCTCATGTCTGTAGAAGCAGTGCAGCAGAGCTGTTCTCCTCCACTGAAACAGCTGGACCTCCTGCCAGTCAGACGGAGGGTTTGTTTGGCCCTTCGGTCCAGAATATGAGCAGCTCTATCTGAGAGTGTTCCTGATTTTGTAGATCTCAGTTAGACTCCCACAGTTCCCCTTAACTGTCATGTCTTAACAAGGTTTCAGACAGTGGAGTCTGTGATCTAGAACCGCTCTGATATGTTTTATATCCTCCTCCTGATCTGTAGCCTCAGTCAGCTTCAGTCTCAGATCCTCAGCTGCTGCTTAGAGAAGTTTGAAGAGTCAGAGAATTTATTACACTCAGGAACTCTGATCAGCTGACACGTCCTAATGAAGCTTTTAACCTTCCTGACTAGCCCTAACGAGCCAATTAAGGCCTAATCTTTCTGTTTTATAAGTGGATCAAATATTAATCAGCTGTGCAGTAATGTCTGCAGAACAGACGGTAAATCCTGCTGCAGTGGCTGTGTTTTCTTTCTTCACGTGAAAAATCAGTAACTATGTTTTTGGGCCGTAAGTGTCCAAACCTGCACACCGCAGTGAGGATGATGACGATGAACACAGATTTGAGGCTGCACACCTGATCCGCTCCTCTGTGCCGTGGTTTGACTGCTGCAGCACCTCCTTCTCGCTCCTCAGAGCCGAGATCTCTGACTGTAGAGTCTCACACTCCGCCTGGAGGAGAAAAGCTTTACTGAGAGGTGGTGAATACAGTGTGTGTGTGTGTGTGTGTGTGTGTGTGTACCTGTATTTGCTGCACACTGCTGTGTGTGTGCGTGTGTGTGTACCTGTATTTTCTGTACACTGCTGTGTGTGTATGTGTGTGTGTGTATGTGTGTGTGTATGTGTGTGTGTGTGTGTGTGTGTGTACCTGTATTTGTTGCACACTGCTGTGTGTGTGCTCCAGCTCCTGCCTCACTCTCTCACACTCAGGTCCGCAGGGTGGCTGCAGGCTGATCTCCTCCTCTCTCTCCCTCTGTCTCTCTCTGTCCCTCTCCTTCTCTCTCTCCCACTCTTGCTCTCTCTCCTGCTCTCTCCTCTGTGCCTCCTCCTTCTCCTCCTCCAGTGTGTGGATCTCAGCCTCCAGCCTGCTGATCTGCAGTAAAGCGTTCAGACCTTTTTATTATTATTTACACCAGAAACAGTTCAAACACCCAGACAGTCACTGTTTATTTACCGAGTTTAACAGTGAAACATATAATGTGGTTTATGCAAAACTCTGTTTACTTTTTATGTTAAACTCAGTTAATAAATCTAAATTCTGTACTAAAATCATATTTAAGTCATATTTAAATGTGCTCTCTGTAGTGGGTGTGTTGACTTATTCACACTCAGCACTAATTACTGACACTGCGTTGGTGGGCGTGGCTAATTTAGAAGCTTATCTACCAAAACCTTTATGCAAATGAACACGCACAACTGTCATGTGTTTACATGCGTCCCAAATACAGCATACAGCAGTCTGTAAAAGCCACCTTTAGAGCCGCCATTAGAGCCCTTAGACGAGCGTTCATCAGCGCCGAACACACAGAACAGAAGTGTGCGGCTTTGGGACAGAGCCAAAACGTGTTTTATCCTCTGATTTTGGTTCAAATCACGCTGGAATGATGAGTTACCTTCTCAGGATCATGACTTAGTAGATCACAATAATGACTAAAAGAACAAGTGGAGCTTCTCAGCTTTTCAGCTCTTCAGCAGAGCGAGATGTGACGCTCGGCCGTCTCGGCTCAGCCTCAGTAAATCACAGCAGACGCTTTAATGCCAAAGCAGGTTTGTGACGCTGCAGAACGTTTAGCAATCTCGTAAACGAGATCAGAACTCTGTCACAGAGCGGTTTAGAAGTAGAGAAATTAAACACATTGTGATTTGACCGTTTGTTCTCACCTCAGCGACGGAGAGCTGTAGCTGCTTGTGTAGCTCGTCTCTCTCCGTCTCCAGAGTCCGTCTCTCCTCCTCAGCAGCCTTCTTCTGTTCTTCAGCCTGTAAACAAACAAACAAACAAACAAACAAACTCAGACAGTACAGTCAAACTCAACACCGCTGACTCAGACAGTACAGTAAAACTCCACTGATTCAGACAGTACAGTAAAACTCAACACCGCCAATTCAGACAGTACAGTAAAACTCAACACCGCCGACTCAGACAGTACAGTAAAACTCAACACCGCCGACTCAGACAGTACAGCATAACTCAACACCACCGACTCAGACAGTACAGCAAAACTCAAAACCACCGACTCAGACAGTACAGTAAAACTCAACACCGCCGACTCAGACAGTACAGTAAAATTCAACACCACCGACTCAGACAGTACAGCAAAACTCAAAACCACCGACTCAGACAGTACAGTAAAACTCAACACCGCCGACTCGGACAGTACAGTAAAACTCAAAACACACTGTAGTGGGAAAAGCCCCATCATCATGAAGTTCAGCGAGGGAACGAGTAATCAGAACAGTCTGATTTCTTCTACAATCTATTTTTTGTCAGAGTTCCTGAGGGATTTCAAAACTGTTTTTTATTGTAATTTGACCTTCAGTTTTGAGTGTTTTGGTCTCTCTTCATTATAATTAGCATTAACTGAAGATGTCGGCGTGTGTAAGGTGTCATTTACACTTAAAACGTAGTTTTAGTTTATGTTGTAACACAGTTGTTCACTATAGAACTACAGAACTCCGCAGTTGCACTGAGTGAACGTGTTTAAAGCAGGATTTGAGTTTGAGTCTAAATCCTGACCTCATATGCTGCAAGTCAGGGTTTCTGTGTACGAAAGCTTTGCACCTTTTGAATGTGTATTTGATGGCAAGTCGAAGAATCAAGTCTAGTAACCGGCTGCAGCCGACCCCTTCCACTGCAGTAGGGACGATAAACACTGCCCAATGCTGGCGAGACATATGGACAGAGATATTATTTGGAATTATTTTAAAGATATTTGGTCGGTTGTACCTGCTGGCTTTTCTTCTTCTCTTCCTCCAGTGAGGCATTGGTCTGTCGCAGCTCGCTGGCGTGTTTGCGGATCACTTCTTCCAGCGCTTTCCGCAGCTGCTCTTTCAGACGGACTTTCTCCTCTTCCATCCTTTGCTGGACTCGCTTCTTCTCTTCCTCCAGCTCCTGCCTGTCGTTCCCTCGTTCTTTCTCCACCTCCTGATGGAGGCGTCGGATCTCCTCGGCATGAGCGCGCTGCAGCTCCAGACGCATGGAGGACAGAGCATCTGCGTGCTGAAAAACAAACACACAACAATAAACACACACATATGTAGCACTTCGCCAGTTTCACACAGTTTGTAGGGGTCCTACATCATGTGACTGCGGTGAGTCGTATCAGTCAAACAGACCTGCATTTCCATCATCAGTCCCGGCTCAGACGAGCGCTGTAATGACCTCATTCTGAATGTGAACATCGCTGCTGAACTTCATGGACAGGGTTCACCCAGGGTGATAACCCACCATGTCTAAAGGAACGTGTTCACAGCGCAAAGTTTCAGGAGCATAACATTTCAAAGGTTCACTGCTTTTTATCACTTGTGCAGTGTTCAACCATATCAAGTTTGCCTGCAGAGTGATTCGTAGCTTGTTCTGGGTAACCAGCCACAGCGTCCACCCATCAGATAGACACTACTAAACTAAATGTTTTTGGGCTGCATTTAAGGTTATGAAGCTGTCCCGCTGGGTGGTAGTTGAGACCCTCGACTTACTCCACACATTCAGATCTTGAACTAACTCGCATTTTTCCAAAAATATGCACATTTTCAAAAATTACATAAAAACCCTGATTGGCCAGCTGCCATAAATGTGATCTCACTTACTAACAGACTAATCTTAACTCCTCTAATCACTTACTAACAGACTAATCTTAACTCCTCTAATCTTACTAATCTTAACTCCTCCAGCACCAGTGCAGCACTACAGCAGGCAGCATTAACTAAACTCGTTACTCAAGCATGTTAATTTACAGTGTCCCCAAAACAACCCCATTTCCAAAAAAGTTGGGATGCTGTGCAAAATGTAAATAAAAACAAAAGGCAATGATGTACAAATTATTTAAATCCTATATTTCATTGAAAACAGAACAAACACAACATATCAAATGTTGAAACTGAGAAAAATTTTTTTGAGAAGTTTTTTATAAAATATTTGCCCATTTTGAACAACAACACTTTCCAAAAAAGTTGGAAGGGGGGCAACAAAAGGCTGGTAAAGTTGTGTAATGCTAAAAAACACCTGGTAGTTAATTGGTAACAGGTCAGTAACATGATTGGGTATAAAGAGCATCTCAGAGAGGCGGAGTCTTTCAGAAGTAAAGATGAGGAGGGGTTCACCACTCTGTGAAAGACTGCACCATCAAATAGTGCAACAATTCAAGAATAACGTTTCTCAATAAAAAATAGCAAAGAACTTTTGCTTTTCATCATCTACGGTACAAAATATCATTAAAAGATTCAGAGAGTCTGGAGAAATCTCTGTATGTAAGGGACAAGGCCAAAAACCAGTATTTGCTGGCCGTGATCTTTGGGCCCTCAGGCAGCACTGCTGTAAAAAGAAGAGGTGATGAAGCACAGTGGTAAACAGGCCTCCATCCCAACCTTTTTGGAACATGCTGTTGGCATCCAATTCAAAATAGGCAAATATTTGTTCAAAATCAATAAAATTTCTCAGTTTTAACATTTGATATGTTGTCTTTGTAGTATTTTCCTTTAAAAATATGGTTACATGATTTGCACATCATTGCATCCTATTTTTATTTACATTCTGCACAGCGTCACAACTTTTTTGGAAATGGGGTACAATAAAACCAAAAATTATCAAAAAAGTGCACAAGACAAATAAATGAAGAAACTTCAAGACGAATAAAATTAACACATCAAAACAATCAAATAAAACTATTAAGAATATTAATGATTTAAATAATAATAAAATAATAAATAAAACAACTGAGTAGACCTGAGAAAGAGGCCCAATAGAAATCAACACTGAAACAGTATTAGTAATGGTGGCACAGCGAGTGTGACTGACCTGTTTGAGCATGCGGGCGTGGTCGTTAGTTCGTCCACTGTTCTGAAGTTCCAGCTCTTTATTCCTGATGTTCAGGCGACTCAGCTGAGACCTCAGTTCCTCCACCTCAGCAGACACTCTCACCTGAGAGGAGCTCTGACTCAGCAGTTCCTCTACAGAGAGACAGAAGAGACGGTCATTCGTTACTAGACTTCAAAAATTTCAGAAGTGCAGATCACCAGATTAGTGATTAAGGGGTCGTCTACAAAGTGCATAACGCAGGCGTCAAGTTTCACTGTCCATGGAATCGCATCAAACCACCTGCAGTAAAGAGAGCAGCTTCCTCAGACTTAGATTTTAGAAGGTTTAAAGGAAGCTGCTCTCTTTACTCTCGTGATTTTGAACACATACGTGTTCCAGTATATGGAAAATATGATGTGCACTGTTTAGACCAGGGGTGTCCAAACTTATCCGCAGAGTAGGGTCAGACGAGCTCCAGTCTGTTTGGAGTGAAAACCTGCAGCCACACCGGCCCTTTTGGATAAGCTCGGACACCCCTGGTCTACACAGTCCGGTAGAGGAGTGTACCGAGTGTGTTAAGCTCTTGCCTCCTCTCACAGGTCTGCACACGGCCTGAGGGAGACAAAGAAACTGGGAATTATGGGTAAGAGAAACAGAGACACAGTTAAAGAGGGATGATGAGAATCCAGCAGCTCTCATAAAGACCACAGAAGCAAAAGGTTCAGATCAGCCTGTTTCTCGTTTTTCTTGTTTTTTTTTTTTGTTTTTTTTTACCTGATTTGCTCTGCAGTTCGTTCTCCTGCAGCAGTAGCCGCTCTTTGGCCACAGCGAGCTCCTCCTCTGCCTTCTTAGCTACTCTTTCTGCAGTTTCAACCTGGTGATGCCCGTTTTCCAGCTGCTCCTCCAGATCCTGAAAGGAAGAAGGGCAGAAAAAAGTACACTTGGAATTTGCAGGTACAGAGTTTGGAAAGATGGAGTGAGAGAGGAAGTGTATTTATTTACAACTCGCAATTTGCTTTTGATGGTCACAGATGAAATGCATTACTGTAATCCTGTTACTGTAATCCCGTTACTGTAATCCCGTTACTGTAATCCCTTTACTGTAATCCCATTACTGTAATCTGTTTACTGTAATCCTGTTACTGTAATCCTGTTAGTGTATTTATATTACTATAATGTTACTGTAATCCCTTTACTGTAATCCCTTTACTGTAATCTCATTACTGTAATCTGTTTACTGTAATCCTGTTACTGTAATCCCTTTACTGTAATCCCTTTACTGTAATCTCATTACTGTAATCTGTTTACTGTAATCCTGTTACTGTAATCCTGTTAGTGTATTTATATTACTAACATGTTACTGTAATCCCTTTACTGTAATCCCGTTACTGTAATTCTTTTACTGTAAAGCATTACTGTAAAGCATTACTGTAGTCCTATTACTGTAAAGCATTACTGTAGTCCCATTACTGAAAAGTATTACTGTAATCCCATTACTGTAATCCTATTACCATAATACTTTTACTGTAAAACGTTACTGTAATCCCGTTACTGTAGTTCCAATATTGTAAAGCGTTACTGTAATCCCATTACTGTAATCCTTTTACGGTAATGTGTTACTGTAATCCCATTACTGTAATCCCAATACCGTAATCCTTTTACTGTAAAGCATTACTGTAATCCCAAAACTAGTGTGTTAGTGTGTGTGTTTTAGAGTGTGTTAGCATGTGTTTTAGCATTAGTGTGTGTGTGTTAGTGTGTGTGTGTATGTGTTAGCATTAGTGTTTGTGTGTGTGTGTGTGTGTGTTAGCATGGGTGTATGTTAGCGTTAGTGTGTGTGTGTGTGTTAGCATGTGTGTGTGTGTGTTAGCGTTAGTGTGTTTGTGTGTGTGTTAGTGTGTGTGTTAGCATGTGTGTATGTGTTGGCGTTAGTGTGTGTATGTGTTAGCATTAGTGTTAGTGTATTAGTGTGTGTGTGTGTGTGTGTGTGTGTTAGCGTTAGTGTTGGCGTGTGTGTGTGTTAGCGTTAGTGTGTGTGTGTGTTAGCATGTGTGTATGTGTTGGCGTTAGTGTGTGTGCATGTTAGCGTTAGTGTGTGTGTGTGTTAGTGTTAGCGTTAGTGTGTGTGTGTGTGTGTTAGTGTTAGCGTTTGTGTGTGTGTGTTAGTGTTAGCGTTAGTGTGTGTGTGTGTTATTGTGTGTGTTAGCGTTAGTGTATGTGTTGGCGTTAGTGTGTGTGTGTGTGTTAGCGTTAGTGTGTGTGTGTGTTAGTGTGTGTTAGTGTTAGCGTTAGTGTGTGTGTGTTAGCATTAGTGTGTGTTAGTGTGTATGTTAGTGTTAGCGTTAGTGTGTGTGTGTATTAGTGTGTGTGTGTTAGTGTTAGTGTTTGTGTGTGTGTTAGTGTTTGTGTGTGTGTTAGTGTTAGCGTTAGTGTGTGTGTGTGTGTTAGCGTGTGTGTTAGCGTTAGTGTGTGTGCGTGTTAGTGTGTGTGTGTTAGCGTTAGTGTGTGTGTGTTAGTGTGTGTGTGTGTGTGTGTGTGTGTTAGTGTGTGTGTTAGAGTGTGTGTGTTAGTGTTGGTGTGTGTGTGTCAGTGTGTGTGTGTGTGTTAGAGTGTGTGTGTGTGTGTGTGTTAGAGTGTGTGAGTGTGTGTGTGAGTGTGTGTTAGAGTGAGTGTGTGTGTGTGTGTGTATGTTTGTGTGTGTGTGTGTGTGTGTTAGTGTTAGTGTGTGTGTGTGTGTTAGTGTTAGTGTGTGTGTGTGTGTTAGTGTGTGTGTGTGTGTGTTTGTGTTAGTGTTAGTGTGTGTGTGTGTGTTAGTGTTGGTGTATGTGTGTGTGTGTGTGTGTTAGTGTTGGTGTGTGTGTGTGTGTGTGTGTTAGAGTGAGTGAGTGTGTGTGTGTGTGTGTGTTAGAGTGTGTGTGTGTGTGTGTGTTAGTGTGTGTGTGTGTGTGTTAGAGTGTGTGTGTGTGTGTGTGTTAGAGTGTGTGTGAGTGTGTGTGTGTGTGTGTGATAGTGTTAGTGTGTGAGTGTGTGTGTGTGTGTGATAGTGTTAGTGTGTGTGTGTGTGTGTTAGTGTGTGTGTGTGTGTGTGTGTGATAGTGTTAGTGTGTGTGTGTGTGTGTTAGTGTTGGTGTGTGTGTGTGTGTGTGTTAGAGTGAGTGAGTGTGTGTGTGTGTGTGTTAGAGTGTGTGTGTGTGTGTGTGTTAGTGTGTGTGTGTGTGTGTGTTAGCGTGTGTGTGTGTGTGTGTGTGTGAGTGTGTGTGTGTGTGTGTGTGTGTGATAGTGTTAGTGTGTGAGTGTGTGTGTGTGTGTGATAGTGTTAGTGTGTGTGTGTGTGTGTTAGTGTGTGTGTGTGTGTGTGTGTGTGGTACCTCTATCCTCTCCTGTAATTTACTGATGTGTCTGCTGCTCTCATTCAGTCTCAGCTCTCTTGTCTCCAACTCTGACTCCACCTTCTTCAGCCTCTGCTGTAGCATTGTATTCTGGGATTTGCGGTTCTCTTGTTCTCTCTGCTGCCACTGGCTCATGTGTTCATTGAGGCTTTTCCTCGCCGCTTCCTGCTCCTCTCTCCTCTCCTCCTCTATCGCCCTCATCCTGCTCCTCCACTCCTCCTTCTCCGTCCTCCACTCCTCCCTCTCCGTCCTCCACTCCTCCTCCGCTCTCTCTCTCTCCTCCCGCAGGGCCTGCAGCTCTGTTTTCAGCGAGTGCAGTCGCTTCTCACACTCCTCCTCCACCTTCTTCCTCTCTTCCTCTTCTCTCCTCTGCTCCTCACTTTCTTTCTTCTTCTCCTCTTCCTCTCTCCTCCTCTTCTCGTCCTCCTCTCTCTTTCTGTCTTTGTCCTTCTCCTGCCGCAGCTGCTGACATTCTTCCTGCAGGCGTTTGTTCTCCTCCTGGATCTGCTGCATCAGCCTGCGCTGGCCGTCTCTCTCCGTCTGCAGACTCTGGCAGTCTCGGCGCAGATCTGCGGCCTCCTGTGTTAACAGAGCCAGGCGCTCCGCGTGCTCCAGTTCAGCCCTCTGTCCGCGCTCCTCCACCTGACAAACACACGGCCGTCAGCGAAAACCCCACCCTCCTCTTATAGTCCACCGCTAAAGAGCCGGACACGAAAAGAGATTCATAAATCAGAAAAGGTTCAGACGCTGTAAACTTCGGAATGTTTATTAAGCTCACAGACGTGTTCTGTGAATTATATGAATGCTGTCAAATTTTGTTTGACATATTAATATAAGGTAGTTGTGAATGTGATCTGTTTCATGCTGTGCAGGGAGACGGGAAGGTATTTGAGTTGGACAGCGTATAAATGACGTGCACCATAACGTCACACTCAGCACTGTACTGCTTTTATATTTAACAAAATAGAATTGTTTGGGTTATTTTTACAGATCAGACGGTTCAGCGCGCTGCAGAGTCTGCACTGTGAATGACGCACTGCTGTCTCTGCTCTCGCTGGCTGGACAGCCTTTATGTGCATGAGCTGAATGTCAGCCAATCAGATTGCTAATGTGAGGTGCAGAAGCAGAGACAGTTCAAGGTGAGCCTGGTCACTTCCTATTTCTCCAAAACATGACTGGACAAGGTCAGAGAGTCCCCAGTGAACCCCCAACAATGTCTGTCTGCAGAGCTGCAGGTTCACGCCAGTGGCGTTCAGCGCATGCGCCGACGCTTCTTTTGGTTTTCTTAATTAATCAACGTTTCAGTCGTTTTGTGTGGGTTTCCAGTAAATTGGTGATAAATTTGCATTTGTGATAAAAATATGTTGTATTTTAAGCTTTAGGCTAAAACAGACTTTGTTTTGAACACATATAGAGATTCACAGGGTACATATTACATAAACTACAGCTGATGTGGCTCTGGGTAAACTAATGGGTTATGTAGACATATAGCTCAGTTAACTTACCCTTAATATGGGGCTTTATGTACATTATTATTATATTACACATGCAGGAATAAAACCACCTTAAGCAGCTTAAACTGAACACAATATTAAGCTTTAGGCTAAAACAAACTTTAGTTTATGAAACTTATATCTGCTGAAAAAACCCATAGAAACCATTAAGTGTTTCTTTTGGTTTCTGATGGTTTCATAATGCGTTTTGGTTTATGGTTTAACTGATAACCAATGATTGATTCGTATATTGGGGAGTGTATCCCTTCCTGAATGGTAACATGCATGACGACACATAACCAGCACAAACAGTCGTTGTTTACATCAGAGATGTTATAAATGAGGAGACCGGCCTGTGACGCTGGTAGTGCTCACCGTCGCTCTGTCCTGCTGCACATGAGCTCCACTGGGCTCAAACAGCTGGAGTGAAACAGAACTGTAAATCTGCGGTTCTCGAGTTCTGCAGTCAGACATTTCTCCAGTGAACAAAGACACTTGCACTCACTGAGCTGAGTTGCTTTTTGGAGAAAAAGTCCAGCAGGTTTAGTTCTTCTTTAGAACCACTCAGCGCTGCGACGGTGAGGAGAACTCAGTCTATTTCTCCATGGTTTTTTTAGTAACCTCGGTGGACAGCATAGATGATGGTGCATATTTGTTTACACGCTCATTTTTTAAGTTTTAGGCTGATATTCGGCCACTTTAGGGCACAGAGATCGCCTAGAACTGCTGCACATGTTCTAGTGTCACGGCCCTAAAGCAGCAAGGTGGCAAGAAAGTCACTCACTTCACTCTAAAAGGCAGCGTCATCTTAAACAATACAGCTGCTGTGAGTTCTGAACCATAAACAAAATAAAAATGCAAAATTCTCCCAACAAAAAGCTCATATGGCATCTTAGCATCAGCCTGAGCATCACACTGAACACTCTCTACCAGTTAAGATGATCTGAACACTGCAAGAGGCTTTTGGGAATCGGGCCCTGTTCTTATTGTTTATGCCCCCCCGACCCCACACCCACACACACATCCCCACACCCACACACACACCCCCACACACCCACACACACACACTCTCACATACACACACCCCTGCCCTGTGTCAAACCTCTTCTACTGTGGCCTGGAGCTCCAAGAGTCGGGTCCTGAGGGCAGACGCCGACTCCTCCTCCTCGTCATCTGGACTGGTGGTCGGCTGAAGGGAGCCCTGCGTCTCGGTGGTCACACGCCGCAGGGTCTCCAACGTCGCTTCCTGCTCCTCATTCTTAGTGTTGAGGGAATAAATCACCTACACACACACGGGGAACAGAAATAAGAGAAGATAACAATAACAAAAACAGAATAAAATGGAAGAAATAAACGCTTTTGATGCAGCGTAAACAACATTCAGTAAAAAACATACTCTTTATCAACACTTGTACTGTAAGTAAACAATCTCTACAGTAAAAGCACTTTTACTGCAGTAGGGATTGCAGAACTCTCTCCAGCCCTGAAGAGTGCAGAGTGGTTTCTGTCCTGTTTATCTAAATGAGCCACTCTACTGTTCTAATGCTGTTCTGTCCAGCGTTAACGGGCAGTTCTGGGTTAGTTTGGATCTGTTAAAGCGCTGAATTGAGCGTCTGGCTGTGATGTTTTGATCCAGGCCGTCTGAGATAATCTGGGGAAATCACACAGATTCTTTCCTGTTAAGGCCTTAAAAACTAATTATTGTCTAAAGTTCCTAAACTTTACAGTCCACTCAGCCGAATCCCCAGACCTGAGTGTGTGCAGGTAAATGTTTATCAGTATGTACAAAGCTGAATGGTGTTAATGGCTGTGAGTGTGTGTTACTGGGGGAGAACCAGTTAACCTCCACCACTCCAGGCCAGCTCAAGATCAGCCCCTCCAGGACGGAGAGCACAAGCCTGTCGGTTCCATTCAGAAGTTTAAAAGTGGAAATCTGGGACAAACAAACCAAACAAATTTCAATGTCAAATCCAGTTAAAATAAAGCGCCCAGACAGCGAGTATATATAGGTCCACTGACTTGATAAGGTCAGCACCACACTGACTGTTTGCCACTGCTCGACCACCCTCGGACCCCCCAGATTACTGTCCTGCATACAAGCTCTAACAATTTTTTAGTCTCCCCAAACAGATTTTAAATGCACAGAGACTTTTATTTTAGAAAATAAACTAAGACAAATATTACAAACAACTGTGTAACAACTATGTAACCATAAATAATGACCAGGCCTGATATAAAATGGTTTTATAGAGGATGTTGTTGCTGACGCTGAGCTGGATTAACATTGTTTACTAAACTAATTTACACTAAAGTGTCACTAAAGAAAGGAAGGAAGGAAAAATAAGGAAATTGTGAGTGGAAAATACTCCTCTTGCTATCAGGGCTGTAGTGCATATTTATACTTATGTGAGTTTAACATATTTGAAAAAAAAAACCCATTTAATATTTTTCCACTATGTTAAACCCAGTAATAGTAGCTGTGTATTAAACATGCAGAAGTGTTTTCTCTAATCTCGTAATCTGAGGGGGTTTCAAACTCTTGCTTGCAGCTGTGTATTTATGAGTGTGTGTGTGTGTTTTTACAGTGTGTCCCACCCGTCAACCCCCACCCCTCCTCCCGACTCGGGGTGTCGTCAGGTTTCAACATCTCACTTATCCTGCCAGTGGGTCATGTTGCCATGACGCCAGGCTGTCTGTCAC